CTGAGCGACCAGGACACTAAACTCGGTTAAATTACACTTAATAACTTACACTAAGTTGCAAAGCTAATAAATACATCACATACTACGTATGTTCTGTGTGCTTAGTGCGAGCTTTTTAACGTTCTCGATAGCGTAAAAGTTAGCTCATATTTGTATGGAATGGGATCGTTTGCCTACGTTTGCCTCTAGGGGCGCTGTTCCAACTGCATACAAAATTGGTCTAACTTTTACGCTATCGTGAACGTTAAAAAACTCGCACTGAGCACACTGATCGGATTAACCGCGGTATCAGATATGAGGTAAATGCGCTTAACGTAGGCAAAACTGTGTAACATTTTAGTGATTAATCATAAAATATGTTACGGTTTCGCTTCATGAATATTCGTGGAATGCTAGTCATTATTTTTCAAGTTTTTAACTTGGTTGTTATTTCTATATAACTCAACGGTTATGTAAGCTTAGCGGAAACGAATCAAAATGTTAGTAGTTAATTATTATCTCATTAAATTTTAATAGATTGGCCATCAAAGTATTTATTCAAGAAAAGCTACAGATATTAATAATCCGAAAAATTAAACTTAAGGAGAGATCTAAATATGTAGACATAATTTTTGTACAGCGGAAAATTACATATATTTGAGGAATGATCTAGAATATAACTAGCACAGTAAAGTAGTAAATGTAACACAATTCCACAGCAAAGTTTTGTAATTAATAATTCTGGCTTAAATGTAGCTATGAACCATTCCAGTGAAGGAAGTTGAGAAAAAATGAATCAATGTTTAATGTGAACCTAATCATATTGATTTATGTAGGTGTTCACAAGAATTAGTCGCTTCGCTATTGTGCTCTATTCAATGTATAGCTGTTTGGTGCTAGTGCTTTCGTGTATTATCTATTATACATTTTTTATACGGAGAATATTTTAATAATCATGCACATTATATATTGGATTATATACAGAATCCGATATGCTAAATTTATATTTGTGTGCTTATATAAATATTACAACTTATTGATATTAGGAGCGTTCGTATCACGCTAGAAAATAGCGATTATCGTTGTTTTGTTACGAACATTCCAAATTTAAACCAACGTGAACTTTTTTTTCGTTGCCAAAGAAAATCCTTGATTTAGATATCTTTGGTTTAAAAAATGCTGAAAATGTAATAATAGTCTCTTTGCAGCTGAAATATTATTTATTTTAATTGTAAAAGCCAAGTTCACTTATTTTTTATAACATAGCTGATAAATAATACCGATACTTATATTCCTAAGTAGGTATGTAAGTTAAATAAAAAACAGTCTTAATATCATGCTAGACCAGTGGTTGCAACTAAAAGAGACGATAACACACAATTTAAAGTTATTTAAAAAGCAATTTTTTTAATATACATATATTTTTATAAACTTAGTTTCCAAAAATACTCGTACAAGGCAAAGTAAGTAAGATTTCGTGCCTGAACTAAACATTTCGCAAAAGAGCTGTAGCCTAGGAGTCAGAGTTGCCGACCACTGTGCTAGATAGATAACGCATTACTTACTGTAAGGCATACGTCAAGTCTTGTAATTCTTACTTTTAATGCAAAAGATTGAAACTTCCCGCTAATTACTGACTGATTTATGTATAAGCCGCGCCAATAAAGAAACGAATCGAAAATGGCGTCTATGTACCTGCACTGACAGATGATAGGGTCAACAAATAAAAAGAAATATAGAAATAAAAAGTTGTTTATTGTAAAAAAATATAAAAAAACAAATGAGAATGTACTTTACTTTACTTTATGCCCTCGCAGAGGGGGAGGTGTCTCATCTGGGATGCAACTTGCGTAGATAATTTTGCTGCCAGTCATCTAAGTCACACAACTCGAAAGTAAAAACCTCGAACTCAACAACAAAGTCAGAACTGATATTTTTTTTGCATGCAGTACGCGCCGTGTAAGACAGCAATAGCTTAAGAGTGAGAACGGATGATCGCCGCCGCCATTTTAGATTCGTTTCTTTATTGGCGCGGCTTATAACTGATTTATTTTTTCAAAAAACATGTAATTCCATGAACCTTGTTATGTTTACAAAGCTTTCAACAGTCAACTAACCTATATTATGTTGCAACATATAAATAAAATAAAGTATTAAAAATTTATTTATCCCATTGTTTTTTTTTTAAATAATTTCACAGCATATGGACATTTCCATGTTTTCTGCTATCAAGTTTAAAGTTAACTAACTTTTGGCCGATTTTTATGTATATTTCAAATATCTTTTGATGGGCTAAAACTTTTCGTAGGTCACTCAGGTATATAAGTTATCTAAAAATAGTTATAAATAGGCATCTAGTCATATAATTTAAAGAAGATTCGACAACTTTCTCAAAATATTGTAAATGTTAAATATTAAATGTTAAATATGTCATCAGTCAATGTTCCGGCTGTCTTGGAACCCATCGGAATTTTGAGGTCAGATGAGAAAAGGCCCGATGGAGTCACGCTAATTCCATGGTCAGTTGGTAGGTTGGTGCCTGGTATGGGATGCTACTTGTGTGGATACTATGGCTCCCTGTCATTTAGATGGTACTTCCTCCCGCCCCGGTTCAGCTGCAGCTTCAGCAGAAATTTAAAAAAAGCGGAAGTATTCGGGTTTGGGGTCATCTTATACTTTTTTGCCTTTCGCGGTTGAGACGATGGGCCCTTAGGGCCCTGAAGCAAAGAATTTTTTAACAGAAATCTCCAAACGCTTGAAGGAGGTTACACATGATGCTAAGGTTGGCTGGTACTTTGCACAGAGAGTGAGTCTGGCTGTCCAACGAGGCAACGTAGCCAGTATCTTGGGAACTGTGCCTCCTTCAAGCGCATTGGAAGATCTATTCTACTGTGTGAGTTGATTTATGTAAAATTATTTTGATTTGACTTTTTGTTAATAAAAAATAACGATTTAAATAATGTTAAATATTAATTTTATTAACTTATTTGGTTGTTAATTATAGTAGTATATTTTGATTTCCTTTTTTTTTATCAATGTAACATGTAATCTTATGTTTTGCGAGTAATGAAAGTGTAAATTTTAAAATAAAAAATTGTATATATAATTAAAAAAAAAAATCGAATTCGAGTTTTTTTCGATATTTTGCATTTTCTGAGAAGATTTACTATAGTAACATATATATATTTTTTTCGGAATCTAGAGGAGGAACTATCGGAAATTAGAGATTTCAACGAACAGAAAACATAAAAAGTTTTTGAAAAAAGCTGATATTTTGACGGGTGAATTTTCGATTGAAATTTGGGGTTCTTTTTCGATATTAATTCTTTTTTTTTTTATTGCCCTTGTAGGCAGACGAGCATACGGCCCACCTGATGGTGAGTGGTTACCGTCGCTTATGGACTTCAGCAATGCCAGGGGCAGAGCCAAGCCGCTGCCTACCGTTAATATAAATACATATAATCAAATATAATCAAAATAAGGTGAAAAAATAAATATTTCTAATCAAATAAATTACAGCGTATTTGGGACATAAAAAGGTAAGTTCTCACCAAATGTCGAGAAAGTTTTTTTTTTTTTTTTGAAAAAGATAAAAATAAAATACCAAAAACGTAGTTTTTTTAATTTCACATAAATTTTGAGGTTATGTGAAAAAACGTGTAAATACAAAAGTTTTAGATCTTTTTATTACCTACAACTTTGCCATTTGACTTTTAGTTTTGCCGGAAATCGAGAAAAACCGTTTTTTACCCTTAAGCCCCCCCCCCCATCCCCTTCCCGACCTCAGATCGCCCGTAAATTATTTTTCCTTCCATTTTCATAATATTGTCCTCCATTTCTAATGGGTTTCATCCTACAATATTTTTTTTTTGTTTTAAAAATTATCGACCCTTGTCTATGGTATAAAGTACTTTGTATAAATATGGATTGGACTTGGTATAAAGCTGGCTTTTTCAAGTTACAAAATTTTCGCTTTCTTCCGTCGATATTATTATCACCTTTTACACAAACTTTTTCAAAAACAATACAACAATACATATAATACTTATTTAGGATATTCAGGAATACTGTTGACACCCTCCACCAGTGGTGCTCCTCATGTCTGAGGGTTGTAACCACTTCCATACAGGAGTTTCGTCTTCACGATGTAGTGACATCTTGTCTTGTCTTTGGCTACTCGGAGAGCATAGCAGATGGTGGAATCAAGGGTGGTGTGGACTAGCAGTGTAACTCAGGAGTGATTAACTTAAAAGATATATATCCCACGCAAAGAGATTAGATCTGTATATCACTGGCATTGTGTCTTTATATTTTTAACTCTACAGTTCACGACCATTTCACACATTGACTGTAGATCCGACTGAGAGTGAGAAGAAAGATTACTGATTAGCCCACGCACTGTGCATACGTAGTAAGTGAATGAGAAGGTCGAATATAGTAGCAAGTCGTAATAAATTATACTGCTATAGTTTTATAGTTTAATTTTGTTTAAATGTAATCATATACATTATCTTTTAACCTTTCTTTGTTTATATTTTTTCATAGTGATTTTCTTGTGGCAAGTCAACTTGTTTCTTTGTAATAAATAGTTATTATTGTTTTCTTTATTATTCAAATTTATATTCAAGTTAAGGAATTAGTTTCATTTGTGTATACTTCTTTTAATTCATTACTGTGATTTTTAAATAAATACAAACGAGGACTTTAAATAAAGAAGACCAACACCTGTGTAAATAAAAAGATATATATCTCTTTTCTTCTTGGTGAGTGATTTTGTCCATGACTAGTGTGAACCTGATCGGACCAACGCACTGGACTGTGCCCCAACTGTAGCTTAACCTAACTAAATTACTAAGAATAAAAATTTAAATGACTACTTATTAAAAGAAATTGGATTTGTTCACATGATTTTAATTATGTACTATATAACTTAACAATCCCTTACAGAAACATGCTAATAAATTTTGCTTGTAATTCATTTCTTGGATTTAGGTTTCAGTGTGAAGTAAAGGATGACTGCTCCCATTACTGCATATGTGGCTCTGGCCGTCTGAAATAGATTAAATTAAGTGCTTTCGAAACTGATATACAAACATATTAAAGAAAATTCTTTACAAAATCAATAAAACTTTTATGAATTACAAGAAGTTCAAGATAATTTTAAATTAATATTACTAATCAATAAGATACTTCTGGACTTTGAAGGGATTCTAGGGTTAACAGATAGTAATCAGACTAGAATTCAACATAACCTTACAAATCGTAGTTTGCCTTTGCTGCATCAATTTCAAATAAAATAATGTTCAAAACCTACATTTAATCTTCCTCTGTTTGTCTGACTGTTGAAGTATTTTGCTAAGCCTTTGAGCTGGGATTCATCGACAGAAGAGTCTCCGGCCATCCTGGTGGTAAGTATAAATTTAAAACTAAGTCACAATAATATTTATTACCAGAGTATTTTTTTTATAACATGATATTATTAGTGGACTTTTATTATATTGAACTTTAATTATAAAATCACCTGATTTGAAAAATTATGTAATTACTGCACAACACCCGCAAAATGGATCTAAAGTTGCGAAGAATTTGACACTTTTGACAGCAGGATAGTCTTGTTACATTTCGAGAGTAAGCAAAAGAGACAAAAACTTTTACGCTAAAATTAAAAACAGTCACCTGGAACATGTCGAAATCTGTCAACACGTTTTTTTTTTATTGCCCTTGTAGGCAGACTAGCACACGCCCCACCTAATGGTGAGTGGTTACCGTCGCCTATGGACTTCAGCAATGCCAGGGACAGAGCCAAGCCGCTGCCTACCGCTTAATACTCTCCACAAGCCTCGATTGAAGAAGGACATGTCATAGCACTCGGGAAACACCGTGGAAGGTAGCTCATTCCATAGCCGGATGGTTCGTGGCAAAAAAGACCTCTGGAAACGCTCTGTGGATGACCGCAGTGGCTCCAGGTAGTATGGATGAACTCTACTCCGGTGGCAAGCAGTGCTATGGTAAAAACGAGATGACGGTATTACTCGAACAATTCCTCAGAACACTCCCCATGGAACATACGGTACAAAATACAGAGGGAACCGAAGTCCCTTCGCAGACCCAGAGGTTCCAAGCGATCCGTGAGAATGGGGTTATCGACATCCGTAGGACTTTCTGGAGCGCGAGGAACGAAGCTGTGTCAATTTTTTTATTTGTTTATTTATTGTTTTTTCAAGTTAAAATGAAACAAAGCCGCTCGACATATTTTTTTTCAAAAAGTACACAGAACAAGTCTCAATAAACAATCACCATTTTATTGAGATTAAATTTCTTCCCAACTCATTTTATTTCATTTAATTTCATACCAATTGAGCAAGATCTCCATTTTTAATAATTAATCCACTTCATTTCCCTCCTATTATTTTTCATAAAAAAAGAATATAAAAGATTAGGCTGTATGGTAAGATATCTTTGCCTTTCTAGTTGGAACACCTATTAATTTAATCGTTACTACGGAATATGTACCGGCTATGATCGGTTTTATTTTGTAAATTATTTCGCATTTAAACATTGCCCTCATTACGGCATCATATCAGTATTATTGGGGTTAACAGCTCTGTCCTCTCTATCGTAGAAACTATGGAGGGTAGAGGTAAGGAGAACCATCTCATATGGGAGGAAGCTTGAAAAGGTGTCCCACTTTCAGCACTAAATAGCAGTTCAAAAAACCTACAGAATGGCGCTAGCATATGCACAGGGTATGATATGAATTGAGCAGTTGTTAATTGATTGAAGTATGCTGAGTTAGGAAATTTAATATATTTAATGACTAGAGTAGTTAGTGACAGTGTAATATACAAGACCTCACATGTTTACGTAGTCCAAACGAATTTCGTCAATATAACCTAAACTTATTGCTGTGGTAAAACGTGGAGACATCGATTGCATTTACTTTTTGTGATTCTGTAGTTCTTACAGTTCTTTCATCCTTTTTTATTTCTCTATCTTATTCTAATACATTAATACTAATACATACTCTAATAAACTTCAGCGCGTTTTTTTTAAATTTACCTGTTTGCTACTGTAGCGCCACTCTTATTTAGCAGATTTTACGGACACTTTTTCACACACAGAGTCGGTTCTTCTTACCTCTACCCTCCATAGTTTCGACGATGGGCGACGGTAACCACTCACCATTAAGTGGGCCAAATGCTCGTCTGCCAACAAGGGCAATAAACAATATTTCAAGGATGCTAAATGGTCATTAGTCGCCACTATTAAGCATTCAAACATTCTCTCCAAAATTGCGCACTTCTATGCTTATATCTGAAATAGGTACCCACCGTACTTTAGAGGTAACAGTAAGCTATGAATAATTGAGAAAACATAGGTAGCATAAAAGGAAAATAGAGGTAAGAAAAACCGATATATATATGGCAGAAGGGCTGAAATTTTTTCCGCGGTTGCTAATGTAGCGCCACCCTTATTTAGCAGATTTTAACGGACATTTTTTACACACAGAGACGGTTCTCCTTACCTCTACCCTGCATAGTCGAAACGAGAACCACTAGAAATAATGATGACTCGCGCTACTGGGCGGTGAATATGTAACAACTACCTTTTTATAACTACCTACTGAACGATGATTTCGTAATTTTTTTTTATTGTTTATGTGGGTGGACGAGCTCACAGCCACCTGGTGTTAAGTGGTTACTGGAGCCCATAGACATTTACAACGTAAATGCACCCACCCACCTTGAGATATAAGTTCTAAGATCTCAGTAGTTACAACGGCTGCCCCACCCTTCAAACCGAAACGCAATACTGCTCCACGACAGAAATAGGCGAATGGGTAGGTGTTACCTACCCGTGCGGATTCACAAGAGGTCCTACCACCAGTAATTACGCAAATTATAATTTTGCGGGTTTGATTTTTTATTACACGATGTTATTCCCTCACCGTGGAAGTCAATCGTGAACATTTGTCAAGTACGTATTTCATTAGAAAAATTGGTACACGCCTGCGGTATTCGAACACCGGTGCATCGTTCAACACGAATGCACCGGACGACTTATCCTTTAGGCTACAACGACTTGTAATTAATTAAAACTACATAGGTACTTTTACAGTTTAATATCGTGTTTATTATTTCGAGTTTACTATTTTTGACGTTTCGAATACTTAACAGTTTTTGTATGCATAGACGACAAAGCATGATTACACCAGAGAAGTAGTTTGTAGTATGTCTATGACGGGCGAAAACCCAAGAAAACATCTTAGCAAGACTTACCAGTAATTGTTTCTACTTTTGTGATTTGGGTTTTGCCTTGAACATCTTGTAATACACAAAATATAATGCAATAAGGCCCATCGTTAATTTAGATGTCTGTGAAAATCAAAAGGAAACTATTATGAAATTTATTTTCTCGCATTCGTGCCAAAAAATTCTCCCTCGACTTGTCAAATTTTTTTTAACTAGGTATAATTATTAAATGCTTTTTTTTTTTTTTTTTTTTTTTTATGATTGAAGGATTACTGGTGGCCCGGAGGCCTTTCCAGTTTCACCAGGACAGGTGGGCGAGCAAAGGCTCAGCCAGGAGGGGTGGGATTTGCTAACAGCTACCCGAGCGCCTCCGAAGGAGACCTAACAGCTCAAGAGCAGCTGCTTCGCGAATGAATCTACTACCGGATCGGAATCGCGANCAGATGTACCACGAACACAGAAATAACAAAAGGAAACAAAACAAATAAAAACTTCCAGGAAGAGCACTTAGTCGGCAGATGTACCACGAACACAGGCCGCGCGAACAATGGCCGGGCTAACAAAAGCCGGGCGAACAAAGGCCGGGCGATCGAGTGGTCGATGAGCACGTCCGCGCGTGACGGGTGCCTCTATCGGAATATTATTAAATGCCTTCAGGAGTCGCGAGCGCAAATAAAAATGAAAATTCCTACTTCATGTAAAAGAGGCGCAATGTTGCAGAAAATTGCTCCCTTCTCAAAATTCAAGCTATTCTTAAATAAAGACCTTAATAGAATAAATAGTACATACATTAGCGCGTCCTCTGTTTGTTTGACTATTAAAATATCTGCTGAGTCCCTTTAAGCTTGGATCGTCCTCAACTCCGTGACCAGCCATGTTTTGATTTCTCTTTTTGAAATGAAAAAAACCGAGGATAAAACCAAAAGGTCCGGATTGAAGCTGCCAGAATGATTCTGATGCAGATAAATTTCTACAATTAATTATTTAATAATGTCATCCAAAAGTATGTAACCAATGACATAAATGTCATTCATTGACTTTTTGGTATATTCCTCTAATGCTTCAGTGCTCTAATGCCTTATGTGAAAGAGTATGAACTATGTTTAACAGCCAAAATTACAGAACAAAACCTACGGTCGGGTGTTTCGGGCGACGTCGACCATTCGGTCCACAGGGTCGGGTATGTAAAAACACGCTCTCTACGTATGAAAAAATGTTTATCAAATAGCGATCAATTAGAGTGGCGCCACCTTATTGAGTGGTATTATTTTAGATCTATATGCGTAGTGCGAGTTTTTTAACGTTCTCGATAGGGTAAAAGTTAGCTCATATTTGTATGGAATGGGATCGTTTGCGTACGTCACGTCACAGCCGGAGTCCCGCAAGGCTCCGCCCTCTCCCCGTTACTATTCAGTTTGTATATCAACGATATACCCCGGTCTCCGGAGACCCATCTGGCGCTCTTCGCCGATGACACCGCCATCTACTACTCGTGTAGGAAGAAGGCGTTGCTCCATCGACGACTTCAGACCGCAGCTACCATCATGGGACAGTGGTTCCGGAAGTGGCGCATCGACATCAACCCCACGAAAAGCACAGCGGTGCTCTTCAAAAGGGGTCGCCCTCCGAACACCACGCTGAGCATCCCCCTCCCGACTAGGCGCGTCAATAACCCCGCCCCCGCCGTTCGCCCAATCACGATGTTCGACCAGCCCATACCGTGGGCCCCGAAGGTCAAATATTTAAGCGTCACCCTCGACAGTAGGATGACATTCCGCCCCCACATCAAGGCGGTACGCGACCGTGCCGCCTTCATTCTAGGACGTCTCTACCCGATGATATGTAGGCGAAGTAAAATGTCCCTTAGAAATAAGGTGACACTCTACAAAACTTGCATACGCCCCGTCATGACCTATGCAAGTGTAGTGTTCGCTCACGCGGCCCGCATACACTTAAAATCATTCCAAGTCATTCAATCCCGTTTTTGCAGGATAGCCGTCGGAGCCCCGTGGTTCGTCAGGAACGTCGACCTCCATGACGACCTGGACTTA